AGTACATGTATGGTAGCGTAACACTGCAGTTTCTAATTTTATCTTCAATATCAAAAATTGTTTGAACATCGATATTTTCATAAAAAAAAATCGGCTCTAAGCATAGTTTTGCTGTGAACTCACCCATATTATATTTCTTATATCATAATATATGATGGATACATTATGATTAAATCTTCTACTATTGCTTCGAATTTATATTTTTTATATGTTAATGGTCATATTTTGATTGTGCCAAGTATTTCTTTAGAGAATACTTCTTGTTGTATAATTCTAAATTTGAATTTTTCATTTTGTATCAGGCTGTATGCGAATTCTGTTCGTTGTAATCTTTGCAGTATTGGCATGTTGCCTAATTGTTGTAATATTTGCGATCTTTGTGTTGATCAGAATATTATTGTATATCTTGTTGTGAGTATTTTTTAATTTTAATGTTAAGTTTCTTTTGAATTTCTTTTAATTGGTATATTTGTTATTGTATGCTTTCAAAAGATTTATTTACAAAATCTGTAGCTTCTTTTTCAGTAAATTCTAGTATTTTCATTTTTTCAAATTGTTCTTTGTTTTCTGAGTCTAGTTCTTCTTCTTGTTTGTACCGTATTTCTAGTATTTTTTGGTAATTTTCTATTGTGTAAAATATTGTATTAAGTTGTAATTGTAATTCAGGTATCGTTATAATATGGTCTAATATTTCTGCTTTAGTATAGTAATTCCATATTCTATGGTTGTTTGGTTCCATTTGTAGTGGTTCTTGATTATAGGCAGGATGTATATATGTTTTTATTTTAGTTGGATTGATAGTATTATACCTGTTTGTATCTTTAGGTGGGTAATAACTATATCTTATTTTAATAAGTTTTTTAGGGTAAATGAGTATTCCAGTTTCTTCTAGAGTTTCTCTTTCTGCTATTTGTTCAAAGGTTTCATAAGGTCGTTCTTGTTTTCCTCCTGGTATTCCATACCATGAGTAATATATTTTGTTTGGATTTATTCTTTGTGCTAGTAGTATAGTTGGTAATCCATTTTCATTATGTTTGAATATCGCTACTTGCGATAGTTTTATTGTTTCAAGTTGAATTGGTAGTTGTTTTTCTTTCATTCTGAGAATGAATTATTAGTTCTTGTAAGGTTTATATATTCGGAGATTAAAGTTGCTTTCTGGTGTTATTTCTTCAAATAAATTTTTATATCATTGGAGTTGATTCGTTTTGTTCATAAAGGTTTATTAGATCAAATGTATATTGTCTATGGTTCTTTTCTGAATTGTGTTCTTCAGTATTGTATGCTTCTAGACCATTATATCTGTTATATCATTTTTTATTTACTTTAATATTATAATATGTTTCATTTGGTCTGGATAGTTTTGTTTTTGCTAATTTTTCAGGTATCAGGTTGTAGAATATATAGTCTAATTCATTTAATAGAATTTCTTCTAGTTGGTGTAGTTTATACTTTTCTTTATATTCTTGTGTTATATGTTCAGTTTGAATTGCTGGTTCTAAATTTAATAATCGGTGTTGTAGTTCAATTATCTGTTTAGTTATGTAGTGGACTTTTTCTGATTCTTCTAGATTATCTATTGTAAGTTTTTTATTGTTTTCTTTTTCAAATTTTTCTACATGTAATGTTCTAGCAGTTCGGTAGTATTGAATTATTTGTTGTATTAAGTTTCTTGAATGTGTTTCTTTGTAAAATGTTTTAATATGCTTTTTATCTGTTTGGTATATTTGGAATATTTTTCTTTTTACTTTGATATAATGATATTCGTCATATAGTACTTTTGGTGAATTATCAGTTGGGTTCCTGTTGAGTATTCTTCTAATAATATTGGTGTTTTAGTTGTTCACAGTGAATATAATTCTGAGTAATAATATAATTCTTCTTCTGAATATTTATCATTCTTTTATTTGGGTATTTAATATTCATCTGATGGGTAGTCTATTCTGTATACAGGATTTGTTGTTTCTCCTGTTCTTTGATACTTGTTTAATCTTGCTTTTAAATATTTAGCTTTTCATCATGATTCATTAGCTAAATAATTATCACTATC